ATCAAGCCATGCTTTGAGCCAGAGGGAGAACAGCATCAGCCAGGGTTCAGGCAGAAGAGAAGGATGCCATACAAATCCGGTAGGCACCCTACGAGCTGCTAGGCAAGAGAAGGCAGGATGGGGCCAAGCCAGTCTTGCTGCAACGTGGGGAGAAAGGACCTGAGCAGCGTTAAGGAACCAGGAGCAGCAAATCCATTGCTCCAGGTGTAAAGGGTGGAGGCAAAAGATGCTGGGAGCAATCAACCCCCAGCACAAAAGCCAACCCACAGAGCTCTGACCCCTTCTCAGCAGAGTACGACACAGCCAGGTTTCCCAGGACTCCTGCAAGGGCTGAGCTGGCAGCAGCACTGCGACCATTTTGGTGTCTCTGGTGGTCTGCTGGCCAGGTTAACTGCCCGGCAGGGTGGAGCTAGCAAGGTCTAGTTAGCGTGGACAAATATTGACTCACCTGTGGGCATAGAGAGCGCTACCAGAGCTGAGAACACAACCCAGGGGCCCCAAGCCCCAGCCCTCTGCCTTCTACTCCACCACCCATCAACAAGAGCGTTTTGTAACCCAAGGTGGCACCGCCCAGATGCACACTGCCTCTTCCTAAACTTCTCCTGCACGCTTTGAACCAGACACTCGCAAACCACAGCTCAGCACTCGGACGGGAGAGACAGCCAGTGCTCGATGGCAAAAAGAGACCCAAAAACCCATAAACCAACCAAGCCCCCGAATCCTGGCGCCGCAGGAACGCGTGCGAGGAGAACCTGGAGTTACTACATGTTCAAGAGATGGTTGTGGAGACCCCATGCGTGACCCGCCCGCGTTCGGCCCTGTCCCGACACCAAACAAGCACTCCCCGTCCTGTAACCGATCCCGCTCCTCAGCTTGAAGCGACCGTCAGCTGTACGGCTGCTCCCCAGCCACCACCCTCCCCGGGGTGTTTCAAAACACACGACTTCCAGCAGCAACAAACACTTCTCCAGGTCACCTTAAGGTGACAAGAAAGGAGAGAGAAGGATGAGGAACCCCCACACCAGCTACGCAGAAACCCCTCCGCGCCGCAGCCGGCTGCCGGACCCGCACGCAACCCGCTCGACGCCTACTGACCCCTTCTCGAAGCCGCAGCGGAGGAACCGAGAAGGGACGATGTCCCCGAGTCACGGGACCTCTCGCTGCCACCGAGAAGAAGAGATGGAAGCTTTGGAACAGCTTCTTCGGGAGAAGCCCGGGGAGGCACCAACACCGCACCGGACGCGCCGCGGTCGCTTCGCTTCAGCCCGGAGCCCACCGAAGATATTCCGAGCAAGTTTTAACACCCGCTCGCATCTCGGCATCCCGGCTCCAGCGCGGGTCGCGGACAACGAGAAGCTTCGAGGCAGCGAACTTCTCCCGCGGGGACCCGCAAAAAGCCTGCGGGGCAGGGGCTCAAACCGCGACCCCGTCGCCCCCAGCCCCAAGGGCAA